CCGCTCCCTTCCCCAGCCTCATTGCTCTCCTCTGGACCCGCTCCAGCCCCTCAGTGTCTTTCCTGCAGTGAGGGGCCCAGAGCTGCACACAGGGCTCGAGCTGAGGCCTCACCAGGGGCAGAATGACATCCCTGCTCCTGCTGGCCGCACTGCTCCTGACACAGGCCAGGATGTCACTGGCCTTCCAGGCCACCTGGGCACACTGCTGGCTCATGTTCCACCAGTTGTCACCCAGCACTCCCAGGTCCCTCTCTGCAGGGCTGCTCTCCAGCCACTCCTGCCCTACTCAGCAGCGCTGCAGGGGTGAGGGTGGCCAAAGTGTAGGACCCTGGGCTTGGTCTTGTTGAACTGCATCCTGTCGGCCTCGGCCCAGCGACCCAGCCTGTCCATGTCCCTCTGCAGTGCCTTCCTACCCTTTGGCAGTTCGACATTCCTCCCAGCTTGGTGTCATCTGGTGTCATGAAAGCTTAGGCAGGTTGAAGCGCGAGTCTGAGGATTCCCATCATCTTGGTAATCAGGCCAGGGAGCTCACAGAGGAAACTCCAGCAAAACCAAACCAAGAAAACCTCACACCAGCTCGGGATACGCCATTAGGACTGGGAAAACCAAGGTAACACCAGTGCTCCTGAACCCAGCTCAGCTTTCCCTGTACTACGAACCCATCGGTGCTGCTTCATGTAGGATGCACCGAGCCTGCTCAGCACCTCTCGGTTCACGGGACAGTGGCCACAAGCCAGGAAGCTTGACAGACATGAGCACAGACCCCGGCCTCCAATTCAGGATCACTTCTGAGCGGCCCATGTGGGAGCTCCTGCTCAGGTAAGGAAGAGACAATCCCAGGCTGAAGGCTACACGTAAAATCTTGAGATAAAGTAGTCCTTCATTATTTTGCCACCCTCACCAAATAATTCTGACTTCCACGTTTCTGATACATGGAAATTTTTTAGTAAAATCTTATGAAGAAAAATAAATTTTCTAACACATAATGGAATCACATATGCACACGTGCTGTCCTAATTTCTCTCTCTACACTTGCAGAAATAAGCAAACCACGAACAAACTGACTATCAGGATTCCTTACTGACCTACAGTGAAGAAATAAGGGGAGTATACAAGTTGTGACTTGCTAAGAATAAAATCAAATAGTAATAATCCTCCTCATCCTACGGGCTTTGAGCTACTAAAGCCTAAAACCCTCATTCAATCTCCCCCAAACATGAGCTGTAAGGGATGAAAAGGCCCTGCCAATGAAACAAACAAAATGTTCTCATACCAATGTCATCGATCCTAATCCAATTCAGATGAGAAAAGAGACTTTAAAGCATTTTAACCCCACTCAAATTAGAGAAAGGCTTATTTATAAATTAATTTCTATGCCAAACTATTGGACCCAAGATACTCTACATAGTACAAGCTACAATTAAACACACTATAATGACCTGAAAACGTATGAAAAGAGACAAGAAAACGTTGGTTTTCGGTGGCTGTAATCAGATTAACAGGTTTCTATAGGCATTCAGTTTATTGGAGTTACGCCTCACTTCACTAGGATGTTTTGAACAACAGCCGAAAGCAAATTAAGCATCAGCCTGACAAAAATCAGTGATTACCCTGCTTCTTTAGCCCATATTCCCTCTGGCGTCTCACATCAGAGACCTTACTCGCATTTGCTCAGGGAGTGCGTGGAGCTGCTTCCTTAACAGCAAAGATGTGCATCAAGTTATGCTCCCGAAGAAAACTCATTGCTTGCGTTAATTGCTGCATATTCACGAGATCTGCACTAATGATAAAACTGCATCCAGAGAGCCCAAAATACTGTTTTAAGAAGAGTTTAGGTTAATCCCATAGAGGTTAGAGAGGGCTACACTGATAAACTGCAGGAAAGAACTTTTCAGACACCCTAAAGGACCGCCTGCAATTCCCAATTTATCTCCAGACTACAGGGGTGATGCCCGCTGGAGAGTTACTGCTTGTACCGCTCCCGGGAGAACAACTCTCACAGAGACTCTTGTGTTTGTGCTCAGAGGTCTTGGTCACACAACCAGATCAACAAGAAACAAGATGTCTTCACCTTTCCCATATTCTTAAGCAACATAACTATGCTGAAACTATGTCTAGGAAGAGACCAAGCGTAACAAATAAGCACAAATCAACAAGTATCGGCGTGTTCTTTCTCCCCATGACTCCAGAGCATTTGCATAATCAGCAACATAGTACAAATCCACAAATGACAAGGGTGACTTTTCTAGAAGCAAAATAAAAATAATAATAAAAACCCCATAGGCTCTGTAGCACCTTTCTAAACAAAAATTGATATGAAGACGCTGACAAATAAACATAAAACTGTGGACAGTACCTCTCTGTAGTTCAGATAACAACAAAGATAAACTTTTGCATCATCTCACTGGATAGCACGACAGGAGTTCAATACTTAGAAGTCAAACGGTTTAATGCCTGGAAAAAAGAACACTTGTTAGCGGAGATCACTGCCCTTACCATTTCAGAACTACATTTGCAGGAATGAAAGCTTCAGAAGGATTTGGGGTCATCTGTGCCTGAGTAACAGCAAATGAGGAAGCAAAGTTATAGAAGTTATCCAACATCTTCTGAGTAAACTGAAAGAAAAGAAGAGACATTTTTATTAAGTTGGGTTATTTTCAATTTGAATTTTTGAGCAAAAGTTTAACAGACGTACAACTTGTATATAAAGCACCATTATTATTTTCATCTAAAAGACAAGGGGGAAGTGGCTACAGCAGGTCCAGGTATATCCATTTTAAATTGATCAAAACATCCTAACTTGCCCTCAGATCCATCCAGCATCCAGAAATCATTTTTGGAATCTTCACTCACCCTCTACCTGCCCAATTTCATCCAGCTGGATAACCAGCTCTGGGAAGAACATTTTCTTTCTGTGACAAAGAAGCGATGCACTGACGAGAGCTGTCCCTCTCCTCCAAAGCAGCTGAAGTCTGCAATTTGCCTCGTTAAAAGTTGTCAGACTCCAGTGACAGGGAAATTTCCTTTAGCTTTCACCACAGAAGGGCATTCTCTGCCACAAGATCTTGCTGGGGAGAACATGAAAAAGCTGCATAGGAAGCTCCTGAACTGTAGGAATAACAAAGTAAAAGAGTGAAAGAGAGGCCAAGAAGTAGCAAGTCCTGCGTGCAGAGGATGAGGCTCTAGGATATTCCCAGACAATGTAAAAATAATAAGCCTAAGGTACCTCCTTCTCTCCCCTATTCTTTTTTTTTTTTAAATGTATGTGTTGTTGTGGTAGGAGAACAAACTATTTTCACAGACAGTGAAATGATGGAAGAGAACCGAGCCTGGGGCAATATACACACACTCTTGTGCTTCCCTCCACCTGCTCTGACAAGAGTGGAAGAACTGACGTCCTCACACCCAGCACCTCAGCCTCACCCCACTCACAGGCAGAACGGTAGTTTTATCCTACTTTTTTTCCATATGACTTTTTTCTAACATAACTACATATATATAAAAAAATACATATACAGTCATAAAACTTAATAGAACTTACTAAAAATGTAGTGGGAGACTACACTCTTAGAGTAGCAAGAGATGATTTTGCCTTTAAAAGAAATTAATGCAGCGGTTCCAAAGAGATTGTCACGTACATATACATAAAAAAAAAGCCATTAGTCAATCACAAAAAGGCTCCCAGTGATATCCCCTTTGCCTGCTACATACTCCCTCAAAATCTTCCCCCAACTATTTACTTTGTACATACATTTTCTCTATAGGAGTAACTATTACTTCTACCTTTGGCTCAGCTGAATTCCTTGAAAGCAATATACAACTTCAGTTAAGATGTTTCTCTTAAAATAGAGAATGTTTCTCTTAAAACCATTACACCATCTCAAGAGAGGTTTCTCTTAAAAAAGAGAAACATCTACCCAACTGGAAATAACATTTGTAAAAAAGTTCACAATCACAAGGTGTTTGTATTTTTCTTTAAAGATTCTTGCCAGAACAACCCACGAGCCACCTTGCAAACAACCCTAAGTGGCACGTTATTACCCCATGACTTAACTGCTGCTACAATAAAAACTGGCAGAATCAGAAATATTATTTATATGCCATTTGCCCCTAAGAGCTCCAGAAAAGCTCAGTTAACTGCACTATACAAAAAGAGCTGTCTGTCAACTCCTAGTCATCGTAACTTTCTCCAAGGGACACATTTGGAGCTATTATGTGTATAAACTGCCAAAGGACATCAGCTACAGTTTCAGGATTACTGTTCAATTACCAATCTACCTCACCAAGCTTCTATAATGAAAGCAAGTAAGAAAAAAAAAATTAAAAAAAGTAACAACAAAAAAGCCTCAAGAAAAGCCTCATCAGCTGCTGAAATGTTAAAAGATAATGGCCAGTGCTGGCTGAGGATTTCCAGACATTCAAACTAACAGACAGGCTGTATGAAAAATAACAAAGTGTTGTAGCTCAAAGCCTGGTGCACAGGGAAACTGGAAGAAAAAAAAACAACTAAAATCTTCCTGTGGCAGAGGGCACGATTCTGTAGTTTTACGGGACAACATCAGGATTTCTCAAGGGTCAGTGGTACGCTTGGGTATCTATCTGCATCCATGCCCTTGTCTGCCTTGGCTTTTGAGTAATCCCTGCAAGTCTGTGAATTGGAGTTCCAGCACCTACAAATCATCAAAGATCCACTGTCTCCTACATGCACTTAGTCACAGCTGCTCCTAGAAGGAAGTACTATAAATATTTTTACAGCAGAGTGACATCGACACAAGTAAGTCTATTGGCCTGATTCCACTCAGCACGCAAAATCCGATCCTTTACAGGAGACAGAGCTTTCCAGTGTGAGACAAAGCAATTTCAAAATATCAAAGCATCCAGCCAAATGATCCGATACAGTTGGTTACAATCCTGTAGCCACCCACAGCAGCTGTTTTAAAATTAGATCTTCAGAGGCTCCATTCTTAAGACTGTCATAGTACGGAGAATGTCTGAAAAGAGAACATCCAAGCCACCTCTGTGAATGAATCCACCGATGACACAGCAGCACTTGCAACAGGAGTCTGCTGGGCCAGGTTCTCCAGCAGCTCTACTGAGATCCCAATCTGGGCCACCGTTGGCGTCTGGGGGAGGTTCATGGCACCGAAGGGATGTTGACTTCCCTTCCCTGAAAGCGTCACAAAAAGCACAGGTTAGATTTGGCACACGTGTAAAGGCTGCATTGCTTAAATCACTGTGTTTCTTCCGTAGAAGATATTCCTCAACTCCCACCAGAAAGGTCTCCCTATCTTAAAAACAGAGAAAAATCACGCAGTCCAACCACAGGCACAAGTTCACACAAGCACAACAGATGAAACAGTGTGATAGGTATGTTTAAAAAACACAGCAGGTCTTAAGGAAATTTCTAAAAAAAAAGGAGAAAACGTAACTGTAAAACTCCCGATGAAGTAAATCAGTTCAAGAGGAAATACAATCTGGGAGTAAATGACAGCAGAACCCTTCCCTGTGGCAACCAAGCCTTTAATTCACATTATAACAACTACAGATGCACAGGAGACACCCGGTACTGCTGCAGTTGTTTGATTCACCCATTCAAAATCAGGTTCTTGTGAACTTGTCTGTGCACTGAAAAAACAGAGAACATAATTCAAGATCACTCTACTCGAAGCTATCCCTGTGAAGGGACGGGTAGCCCCGAATCTCATCTGAACTGCTCAAAACCACCACCAGCAGCAAAGGAATAACCAAGGAAGAGAAAGGCTTCTGACTTCACAAGAGCCACAAACAACAAACTGCAGAGAAAAGCATCCTCGAGTGGCACAGCGCTCATCCGGGCATCATCCCAGCTCTCTGCCATCACATCTGACCCAAGTATTAACCGGTACTTTCGGTCCCAGCTTTAGTATGGTCTCTGCAAGCAATGGCAGCGTAACTTTGAGAAGTTGAACTAAGGCTTGAGACTCTTCATCACACAGCAAGAAACTCCACTGCAAGGAGTTTCACAGGGAGCTGGCAAATAGGAGCACAAATTAATTCCTCTCAACAAGGGATTAAACATCAAAATGCGTATTTCAACAGTCCGTAATGTCTCTCAACGATTCCAGCTCTCTGTAATCCCTTTTGAGTCTAATTTCTGCAGCCTCATAGTCTTCTCCATCAACAATTGGTTATGCTCACAGAAACTCAGGCTGTGTAGCTTATACTGACTCTACAGACAGAGAGAAGCTGCAGACAACAGTGGGAACGTGGAGCTCTCTGCTGTTCAGATCAGGCACAGCACTGCCTCACGGCATTGCAAATGCATTCAACCACATCAGAGCTCTTCCTCGAGAGCAGCCCTTACTTGGAAATTATGTTTAATCATGCAAAAAGCATCTGAAAATTTCACCTGAAATAAAATCAGCTTTTCCTACAAAGCTATCTGAAGCACATGTAACACAGCAAGTCTTAGAAGCATTAGAAGCCGACAGCAAAAGCCGGCAGAACAACCAGGGACACATTTTACTCTTTCATCAGCAACACAACTTCGGAATACACAAAAACATTCCCCTCCCCTCTCCCCAATCTCTCCTGCGGCTGTTCTCTCTTCTGAAGAAGGCCTAAATTTCTGAGGAACATCTAAGCTCAGACTTCCTTTTGCTCTGCCCCTGGACAGCCCACACCTCGTGCCACACTGCCCTCCGGGACTGATTCAGAGGAAAGCAGCCACGTTACCAATTAATACGTTTGGTCACAGCAACCTCAACGCTTACCTAAATTGATTCAAGTTAAGGTGGTGGACTACACTGAAACCTGTAAAAGACATGTATTCTCACTGTAACACTTAAAGCTGCTTGACTGCCATATCTGTCCCTTCAACAACACAAAGGCATGCCTTTGGGGCACTCCATCATTTTTATAATACGCACAGCAAACCCCCCATATATTTAGGAAAACACAAACACATTTATTCAGGTAGCACCAGCATTTTCTAGCTCCCACCTGTCAGACTTCACAGAATGACAGAACGTCAGGAGTTCAAAGGGACCTCAGAAGATCATCTAGTCCAACCCCCTCTGCCAGAGCAGGATCACCTACAGCAGGTCACACAGGAACGCGTCCAGGTGGGGTCTGAATGTCTCCAGAGAAGAAGACTCCACAACCTCCCTGGGCAGCCTGTGCCAGTGTTCTGCCACCCTCACAGGGAAAAAGTATTTTAATGTTTTTGTGGAACCTCCTATGTTCCAGCTTGTACCCGCTGTGTGATCACTGAGAAGAGCCTGGCTCCATCCTCCTGACACTCCCCCGTGACATATTTACAAACATTTATGAGGTCACCCCTCAGCCTCCTCTTCTCCAAGCTAAAGAGACTCAGCTCCTTCAGCCTTTCCTCATCAGGGAGATGTTCCACTCCCAGCATCATCTTTGTGGCTCTTGCTGGACTCTCTTCAGCAGTTCCCTGTCTCTCTTGAGCTGAGGGGCCCAGAACTAGACACAATATTCCAGATGTGGCCTCACCGGGGTAGATTAGACGGGGAGAAGGACCTCTCTTGACCTACTAGCCACTCCCTTTCTTATGACACAGGTCTGTAACAAAAATGCTAAAACATGTGGAAAGCAGCACTGCAGTAAAGATACTCACTACTGGACTATTATGCAGTGCAACTCACCTGAATGGGAAGCAGCTTGATGTCTGAAATCACTGCACCAGACTTTACTCATTTTCAAAACTACCTCTGTGCTACAAACAACACAGTCACTTAGCAGTGGAAGCTGAAAGAAAACGCTTCACACATGTCTACACAAATAACCAAAAATCATGTCATGGAAGTTACATGGTTATTGTTCCTCAGGCTCTCAATGCAGAAGCACTGGAACACTTGGCAAGTCTGCTCAAAGGAATTTCCAGATCAACACCACACACAGGAGAAGACGGGTGAGAAGCTTGGCTAGAAACATTAACGTGCAGACAGATGTTCATGAAGCTGACAGACTGCTCCTAGTACCACAGCTGCTCGGGACTATCTGAAAGCACTGCTCTGCCTTTTCAAATAGCTTTTTGTTCAAAACCACCTTCAAAGATTTATCCCCTTAAGCATGCAGGAACACACCTGTTTCATTGACTGTTATGTTTTACCAGTCTTACCAGATTTCAGACCAGAAATTTTGAAGATGGCACTTGGCTTCTCATTAGTGACAAACCCCAGCAGCTGCCACACTGCCATTCCACTCTGGTCTGGATAACAAAAATAGACAGATCCTCCCATTCCTTCTGGAAATGGTATAGTTCCCAGCATGAAGACCACTACATGGTTGATGTTTTCATAGTCCGGTAAATCAAATACAAATTTGTCTTCAGCCACTTGTTGGGGAGCTGCTTGTACCTAAAGAGAACAAAACCTTTATTAGTACTACTGTTTCTCATCTTTGGCTGTAGCTGTGAATTTCCTTTTACAGAAACACACCTAAAGTGGAACATAACAGAAAGTGAGGAACGCACTAACCTAAAAAGCAAATAGCCAGATAAAAGTCAAACACATCAGAAGAACAACTGCAAAAAATAGTACTAAAAAGGCACAACACTCTTGCTCTACCTGCACTGAACGTATATCCCACCCAGGACTACGCGATCAGAATACCTTCGCTCCCCATGGGCGTAGGAGGAAAATAGGGTGCAGAAGAGGTTGCCAAGTCTATAAGCAGTGGCTGTTGACCACCTGGCTGGCACAACCCCAGGAGCACGGAAACCTGTTCACATAGGAAATACAATAGACCTTGAGACAGGCATAGCAGAAGGATGGCGAAGCGCCAGAGCAGAAGACACCCTCCTCTTGAGGTGAGACGCCACGTCCTCGCGGCCAACACACCATCTAGCCTTAAGAAGCTATTTTT